GATTAAAAATACAAAAAAAAAAGCACGTGGTAAGATTTTACGTCTTGGGAAAAATTAAACGCTATATTACCGTTAAAATATTATTATTATCACTTAGCCGTAGCGAGCATGACGCGAACGTTTGCAGAAACATCTCTTGCGTTGAATTCAACGTCCTCTCCCCTGTCTTCTAAAGGAAAAGCCACCGTTGATGAAACGGCGGGGGAGTGTAGCATCGTTCCCTGCAATTGCCGACAAAATAAATTCGTGACGTGCAAGTCTTGTGATCTTGTGTGCAATGTAATTTTTGAGCCCCGCAGTTTCCGTGATTCGCGTCCGCACCACTGGAATTCCGCGTAACGCGTCAAGCCCGAAGGCGGGTGCAATCGATCCGTCGCTGTCGTTACTACGTCGATAATTTATAATTATTATTGGCGATTATTTCCAGTGTAATATATCTGGCGTGCACGATTACGTATTTATTTATCGTTTCGTCGTCCGGCCGCCGATATTGCGTTTTGAGTATACCGGCTGCACACACACACACACACACACACTGCATTGTATTATTTTCATTTGCAACAACACGCCGTAGTCCGAAATAGTGAAACGCGTTTAAACGTATTATCAACGTTACGTACCGAATTTAACGACAAACGGATGTTTGTAATTAATGCGGCTCAGAAGAAAATAAAAATTGATATTGTTTTTATCTTTATCGAGAAACAACGAACGTTTTAATAAATGTCTACGGATATACGAAAATAATAAAAATTACAAAAAAAAAATAAATAAATAAGAAAGAAAATCATAGGATTTAATTAAACGATAATACTTATCGGACTTATGAAATTAATAATTATATTCTCCCGTCAGTCTATCAAACGCGAACGCGTATATACACAAACACGTATATATTGTAATAATAAAACGAATTTTAAACTTTATAATGTCCGTTCATCGTAGTAATAATATCGCAATCGCATATTTAATTTTGTTTTACAACGCGGAAGGAAAAAACAAAATTAATTTTTATCTCTCGGCGCGCGTAAAAATGAAAACGATTTTCTCTTGGTTTTTTTTTTTTTTTTTCAATGACGATTATTATTCGGCAAATTTTCATTAAACTATACGGCAGTAGCACACCGTCATCGCCGTTTCTATATTTTATTTAAAAAAAAAATTGTATATTATGTTATACGAGTTTGAAATTAAGAAAAATCACAATATTCCAATTATGACGATTGCTGCGAAATATTACAACTGGAGAAAGATTTCTTTCTGAATAATTATTATGCGCGTAAAAAAAAAAAACTTGGAATACTCGCGCAGAGTGATTTTTATTATTTTTTTTTTTAATCCCGATCCACCGATAATCTATACACACGAACATTCCTAATTAAAATTTAATTTTTATTTTGAATCATTAATCATTTTACAAAAATCGCTGAATTGCAGAAAGGCCACTCGTTCAAATTTTAAAGTTTTCCAAGAGTGACAAAAATACTTAATCTCTAAAAAAAAAAAAAATCGAAAAACAAATGACTAATTTATTACGAGACATGATATCGTTATATCTCATACATAAAATACGACTGCAGTCATTTAAAATTGTATGAAATATTCTGATACCATAGTCGCTCAAGAGGGAAGGGTAGATCGTGGCCCTACTCAAGAAATTGCTGTCTCGTTAGTCTTATATAACTTATATACTTAGTAAAATTCAAGACAATTCAAAATAACCGTGTCTATAAATAATAAAAGTCACTCCGGGAACCATGGTGTTTTAGGTTCTTTTAGAATTGATAGTGTTCACTTTCGAATGAATGCCAAAAATTTAGTTTTTTCGTTTAAACTCGTGGTTGGTACCATTGATTGTTCTTTTATTTTCGAGCGTTTACATGTTAAATAGCTTATACTCAACACGCGAGCTAAAGATTAATTTTACATTCAAAATATTAAAAAAAAACATTCTTGCTTCTTCTCCAATACACATTTTAATTGCGGCAGGTAATTGGGCAAATATTGATTTTTTCATTTATAATAATATTAAAGAATGTAAATCATGTTTAATAATGGAAAACAATACAAATTAAAATAAGAATCTCAAACTCTATAAGTTAAAATTATTACTACATGTTACCTTAAAGTGAAAAATGTTGTATACATTTGTTATCTGTTATTGATTTGTATTATTTGTAAATCGAGTAGTTTTTTTTTTTTTTTCCGTAATAAAGATTATTGTTATTAACAGTTGAGGATCTGCACTAATAATACTACCCCACCGCTACCACATCACTGCAAGACACACATGTGTCGCATATACAAAACACGTGATCATGATCATGTTAATACTATGTAATAAGTCTCTTTCCATATAAATTGAACACTTAACCTCTTTTTTTTTTTTTTATTGGCGATATAGAATAAGCCTTGAAAATATTTTGTTAATTTTTGCAAAAAAAAAAAGGGGTCACTCTCGTCGGCCGAATGAAACGATTTAATAACTTTTTACCATTGTTGATAAGGAACGCGTTCATAAAGAAACGATTCCCGGAATTGATTCCTTTTTTGAGAAACAAATGAAGAAATGAATTATATTATTTTTTGAAAGAATAGGAACGGGAATTAATTCATTATTTTTAGGAATAGGAGCGAAAATATTATAATTATCTTGTTTTTAACAAGTAAGTAAATTTAATTTAATTTATTAGGATTTTAAACATGTCTATTCTAAGAAGTAAGAATATTTTCTAATTTTAATTGATTTGATCAACTCACACTACACTCATTTTTTTTATGAAAACTAGGTATCTACACAAGTAACACATGAAAACCCTCAATGTCAAATTAAGTATATATATTTGAATACTTCCAAAGCAAAATCATTAGTGATATTATTTTCAAACTAAAAATATATAAACATCATTTTAGAGTGCTTTTTTTTTTATATAAAATAAAAAAAAAAGGAACGACTTTCATTTTTAAAGAACGAGGAACGGGAACGGGAACGAATTCTTTTCTAAAAGGAATTTAGCAACACTGCTTTTTACGTATATTATAAACCCATCGGTCCGCAAACGTAAATCACTACAAGTACCGTTTGATACCTTATAACGCTACAACTGTAGCTATTTTAAATTAAAATAGGAAATATCCGTTCGTATCGACATAATATTATTATACGAGCTGAGTGCACAGAGATCGCAATACGAATTCGGTAATCTCCCGGACTATATATTCTGTAATAAAACTGAAACCGTGTTTTCGTATTGCGTACGTGCAGTAGTTGTATGTTTTAAACAGGTCGAAATGCATTGACTAAAATGTTTAGCGAGACGATGGCTAGAGGGGCCGCTGAAAATGATTACATACGCAGAATCGAAACGCTATGAAACAGTGCTGATTTATATGTAATTGTACATAGGAAATTGTCTAGTCCTACGGATGCGCCTGGTATATAATACGTTTGATACGATTGTTATTGTACTATATTGTACATTGCACAGACTACAGTAATACAAATGGCATATGAGTGCAACCGCGTTCGTGACAAGAACCGTAGATTAGTGATATTACGCGGTCTTGAATTTTTAAGGACAAACCCGATTCTGAGCTGGTTAAAAAACCAAAAGTTCAGAATTCGAAATTATCTTGTTAATTGTTGCATTATTCAGAAACCTACGAGTATATTGTTCTTTGGTTTTATAGTAAAAGTTTCGGACATTCGAGAACGAGATTCCAGACTGGCGGATACCAGTAGTGGGAGATTAGTCAACGAATCCTCACACTGTGTTATACATTGTTCAAACAGCGGTGGCAGCAATGGAGTAGAGATGTTCGTATTGATCTTCCGCTGCTGTTGGTTCAAACAAGGGAAACAAATGAAAGTACCCAAAAATAAACCAAAATTTGTCCTGTTATATTGTGGTATTAGATACTCTGCAGATAGTATCGATGTTTTAAAAAAACCATCTTGGTAATATCGATATTGATAATTTTATTTTTTTCTTCCGACTACAGTTATCATATCGTAATTTTTTGTACGTGATTAAACCGTTGATATTATCGGTATTATTTTAAGACAAATCGACTATTGAATATTATTACGAATGCCTATCACGCACACCTAACCTTTGTACTCATCAAGAAAATCGTTTTTGATCATAGCGGTTTTAGTTTCCTCTCTTTCTCTCTCTCTCTCTCTCTCTGTATCGAAACGTCCGTATTCCACTTCGGGATAGGTTAAAAATTACAGGACAAAACGCTAAACATTTCCACCCAGAAGCGAGGTGGTATAAATCAATATAATATTTTACGTTAACCGTTTTCGCGGCGATAAAAATGTATAATATATTATAATACTGAAAAAAAATTGCGATTTACGATGCGCACCGCTCGGATATTACATTATTATACGGGGGAATAAAATACAGTCCGGAATAAACACCGCGAGTCCCGCAACGCGGTGAAAACTGCTGCTGCCGCCGCTGCTGTTGCTGGGCCAGTTGATCCGGACTAATAATAATAATTACTATTGGGCTTCATAACGAAATCCGGACCAATTTGTTTACAAATTATTTATTACTATACGAGCGCGGTTCGCGTTAGGTATTTTATTGTTATAATAACGGTTATTATTATTATTATTATTATTTTTTTTGTTTTTTTGTTTCTTTTTTTTTTTTTATTAAGCGAACCGACGAGGTACGAAAACCGTTGTTGTTTTTCGCAAAATGCAAATGCGAGAGAGTGTCGCGACGCATCCCTTTTTATTATATTTTCGTTATTAACGACGGTTTAATATAGATTTATGTTATAAACCGAATACACGTATATACCTATCTAACGTTTCGGAGTTGTTAAAACGTTATGTATAATATCTATTTTTTTTTATTTTTTTTTTTTTTTAAACCCTCAAGGACTCGTAGTACTTATTATAATAAAGCTATATATTTTACGAATTAAAATTAAGAACATTATTTCCCGAGATTTTATACTGCGCCCCGCATAACGACGGGCGTGTAAGTCGGATTTATCGTGTAATAATTATAATGCGTTCAGTAAAGGTACTTTTTTGTTTTTTTTTTTCTTTTCAAGAATCAACCGAAATCCGAGACGTGGATAGATATTTATACGGGTTGAAAACCCGTAGATGTTAAGGTCCATACATGCACAGATCCAACAGTCAATACAGAAATAACACGAATGCATAATATTAGTTATAATTTCCACAAAGTTTTAGCCGCGTAAAACCGTAGCTCATTTTTTTCCGCTATTGGACGGTCGTGATTGCCGTTCGTTAAAAACAAATTGTGTTATCCGATTTCGTCAGCAAATTCGCTAAACACATTCCTCTGGTACGTTTCCGTCCCTTCACGCTGTCTTTTCTACTGTTCACTAAGCGATATTTAAAATTATTCACGAGTAATTGTTTTTATGTCGCTCTGACAAAATAGACCGTACTTCGTTTATTGAATCCATAATGATAAATGTATATTATTACTGACGCGATATTAGAAGGTAGCTTAATTATATACAATAAGGATGCGTTTTGTTCTTCGTATTAATTTATTTTAGATTATGAGTATAGCGTAGATGCTATAATACGACAATACAGTTCTACTACGTTATGACTTTTATTTTTTATCTAGGAAACACCTTTTCCGTTAGTAAAAGTGCTCCGAATTTTATACCGAGTACCTTAAGAGACGAGAGATTTCCGTGCGGTAGTACTTTACTCCGAAACATTTCATACGGTTTTCAACAGTTTTTCTAAAAAAAATAACAAAAAAGAACTGTCAACACCCATTCATTAGGGGTTTTGATGTTTTTTGTCTATTTCAAAAGGAAAATTACCCGGCTATAATATTATTATGAGCTTATTCGGTTCGCTCAGAATCGTTTTTTGTTTATAATGATGATCGTTAATTTCGGCGCGTAATCAAATAAAACACTCCAAATACTATAAACTCCGATTTCTCACCTAAAAAAGTAACCAGGCCACGGTGAGAATCGCGTCCGGTTTTTTTGAAATATTTCTTATTACTTATAATATATTTGATAACTGTACCTATTAATTATTATTTATTCATTCACTTATCACTTTCCGGCGTATATTACATAGGTCAACCGTTTTACGGACATGCGGTGTACGTACAAGTCAATTGTCGATGGGGTCAATCGGTAGTTTTTTTTTCTTTCGAATCCCAACAATTTGATTTCACAAACGGGCCCATCATTACTTTACAGTTTATTTAATCGTTTATAATATTGAATCCCATCGTATCCTATAGGCTATAATGTTTCTTGTAATATATTCCGTTTAAATCAATAATAATCGTGTTCTACCCTAAGGACTTAACGGCGTCGTTGCTGATAATAACAATTATTATTAAACGCTCACACACACTCACACTCAATGCCTAGTATATCATTAATAACAATCTTTCCGGAGAGACGCCTAAATCATTCCGTTTCTTCGGGACCGCACTGTCAAACGTTTAGATGGTAAAAAAAAAAAAATAATAATAAAAAAAATGATAATAATAATAATAATAAATAAATATATACGACATCCAGTTCTTCGTTGCTCCAGCGCAGTCGCCGCCGCCGTATCCATAACGAAGTCAAATCGTTATTATTGTGCCCAGCATGTTGTTGCTGTGGAACAGGTTTGGTATTGAAAACGTATAAAAGGGTCGTTCACATTTATGTAGTATAATATTATCCGGTAGCTCCCGACCGTTCGACCGATTTCTCTCTCTCTCTGTTATTTATTATCACTGTATACGATCGTATTGTTATAAGGACACGGACGGCAGCAGCGGCATTGGCAACGGCAGCAAACCGTCTCTGCAGCGTCGCGTTCCGCGCGGTGTTGTGCGCGACGGAGTACAGCCGGCCCGAGACCTCGCAGGGCTCGAGCGGTAGACGCCCGGACAGTTCCCGAAAATACAGTATCAATGTACTTACGAGCACGGCGATGACGCCGTCGCTGCGATTCGACGGCGAAAACGTTTTACGTGGGTCGCAGGCTGTTATTGATACCGCGTTAAAAAAAAAAAAAAAAAAAACCAAAACGTCCGCGGTAAAGAAACAAAAATGATAACTGTTGAACTATCGTGCGTCCGCGTATGATATCGGGCGCGCGTCCAGAAACGTATTTAGGAGGTGGCTATAATAAAAACGGCCAATGTACGGTAATCAAAGCGGCGTCGTGTTAAAAAAAAACTACACGTCGATGAATTTTAATGTGTACTTTTTACGTTTCTCATTCGATATACACAGCAATAGCGCATAATTTTTTACATTTTTTTTTTTAAATTTTAATCGTAATAATATAGCTGCACCTACTTTCCAGTTTCATTCTGAATTTTTCCGAACTTTTTTCTTCGATTCGTTCACTTCTGATTGTTCAGATACTTATCCCGTATCCGTGATATGCGTTAGTTTTATTTATGTTTTTCAACACACGAGCTTTATCGGATAGACGAACTTTCGAACATACACGGCATTCGAACACGTGACGTGTTATCGAATAGTACTGGGACACGTTCCCGGCAACAGTTTGGCTGTTTTTTTTTTTTAAATCTCAATCTTCTCGCCAGTCGCTCTACAAAGAGCCCAGCTACATTGCTGAAGCGTCTCTATTTTATTATTAATTCTAAATATTCTAATCGTGATAATACACCGACCGCGAGTGTTATCGGCGCGCATAGACGCGGCTATCACAAAACTTACGGTCGACCGCACCATTTGGATATTACGCGTATATTATAAATAATATAATGGCTGATAGCCGACAGATCCCGATAAGAAAAGAGTACAAGACGCGTATGGCCGTGGCTGAAACGTGAACCCACATGGTATTATATTTTTATCGTAGACAATTATTATGATAAAAAAAAAACGCGCAATATTTCCGTAATCGTATACAATGTATAGAGCCGAGTTCGCGTGTAGGTTAGGTACTCGCCCGTACCGGCGAATTTTTTTTTACGTTTTCTTAAGAGACGACCGGTTTCTGTATTTTTTTTTAATACTCAGTATACTCGCTATAGTGATGTTGTCACTGTATTGTTTTCGTCGCCGCATCATCACCAATAACCGCAAATATATACGCGTGCCGGTGGCAGGCGGCAAACACCGACCCGATCGGAACGACCTTATTCGCGAATATTATTCTACTAGGTAAGTCGTAACGTGTGATATTAAACAAAGTAAAACGAATAAAAAAAAAATGTCCCCCGGAGAAAAAGCACGCGTGTGTCGTCGGACACGTGTCGTCCGAGACACGCACACGCGTCCGCACGCGAAACGCATCCTTTATTACAATAGGTGTACGACGTATATTATATCGTTATCGTCGTTATTATTACGTTTTTTTTTTTTTAGATTTCGAGCATATTTAATAATACCGTTGTTGGTAACCGTTGATTGCGCGCGCGGACAAAGCCGGCCGAAATAACGTCATAATAACGTATCACTGCATATGCCGCGGGAAATCGAATAATAATCACCGAAAAAAACGATATTTCATCGTCCCCTACAGTATAAAAGTTTCTGGAACGAGTTCTAAACATGTTGTTGTGCACTAGTGTCGGTGGACGGTATAAACCGGTCGAGTCGATACGTGGTTTCAAACGAAGAGCCGATAATACAATCATTGATGGGTGCACCATTGTAGTGAGTGGGAATTCGGGAAGATAGTACGTATATCCTGCCTGCAGCAGTGCCTTTCTCACTTTAAAACTCTGCGTATAGTTATTATTAATATAAGTGACAAAAAAAAAAAAAAAAAGAGCTGATACTGGAGATGGGAGCGACCACTGTTGTAGGTGAGAAGTTAGGAAGACAAAAGGTTATTTCATTTATATTTGTAAGCAACGATAAACTATTGCTTGATGACAGACGATTCCGAGCGCAGTTCCGAAATATATAATTTGAAGTGCTGTATTTTTTTTTTTTTTTTTTTTGGGATTTTCGTTTAAATTTGATTTCAAAACGCTTATTAAAAAAAAAGTTCATCCAATGATTTTAGAAATTTTACCACGTCTAGGTAGGTCCGATATAAGTATTATTACAAAGTTTAAAGTTTCTATATGTATTTACAACTGAATTACAGCAAAAAACACCAAAAATTTAAAAAATTTCTTAATTCTCAATAGTAGCTCAAAAGTTTTGGCGATGAAACCGTAGGAAAATAAATAAAAAAGGTTTTTTTCTGGTATTAAACATAATCCGTGTTTTTATAAAATAATGGAATTGTACGTTTTCCTACGTTTTTTCCCACTTAAGTGTTTTTATTTAAAAAATGATGTCGAAAATCAAAATATGATCTATTTAAAGTACAATCGCGACAATTTGAGCTTTCAGAAAGTGTTATACTTATACATCGAAGTAAGTTTACTATGAAAAAACATGTTCACAGTCTAGAAAAAAAAAATAAACATCTTAGTAAAACCAAAAGCTTCCTCGCTACGCTCGGAATCTAAAGTACTTAATCGATAAGAAAATACAATTCTGAGTAAAGTTCGGTTACGTTTTTAAACGCCGTGATTTTTAACATTTTGACCGAGATTTGCACTATAAACGTTTACAAAAGAATCACTAAATTACGCTTAACTCTTTTCTTTTACCACTATATATGTACAACTTGTGAACTTCATGTTAAATTTTCGTTAAGCTAAATAAATAATTGTAACCACATACTAATAAATAAAACTCGGAAAAAAAATGAATAGCTGAAAATCGGCCAGAATATTTTGAAAATTTGACCACATTTATAAAAGGATAACAATCAGTAATATAATATGTATTTTTTTAAAATATCAACTCGACTTACTAGGATCTTACACTGGCCTTCGTCATCTCAGTCATGTTCACTCGTGAACGTGATATGTTAACGATCACGCGCGCAAAATTTTATAGACGAGTGAATTCGTGTAGGTCACCAGTGGGTTAAATAGGCCGTTGAAAAAATTACGCTGACCTTAGAATTACGCGCGCACGTGGGTCGTCGGCAAGCGGAACGCCCGCACGTGGAGACGTTAAAGCCGCGATTTTACCTCGTAGTGTTCCACGAAAGTCGGTTTTTTTTTACGGGAAATCGTCGAGCGGTAATAATTTTCGACAATCGAAAGAAAAATAATAGGTCTGCGCTATTGTAGGTGGGAAGTTAGAAAGGTAGAACGTATTGGGTAATTTAATTTGAATTTATACGCAGCGATAAATTTTTTCTAACGAAATTCGGTTAGAGTTTCAAAATTGTATTCACTTCGAAATAAATATTGAAATTGCCAAATAATTTTATCTACATAATCCCAAATAAAAACTAAAAACACATAAACTTTAAAAGACTACATAAATAGCTCCAAACTTCTAGAAATTGCTAAGATAAGTATTCGGTGAAAATGTCAAGTCTCTAAGATTACAAAAAACAAAATCGAAAATTACGAAAATCGTTAGTATTTGTTCAAGATTTCAAGAATTCCAATAAAAAAAAAAAACAAATTCTCTCTTAAAAATACGACCAGAAAATGAAAATATAGGAAATATTAAAAAAATTTTACATTTTCACTTTTAAAGTATATAATTCAAACGTTACACGTAACATGAATCGAATCGTTAGAAGAAAAAATATATATTGCGCATTGAAATCCGACCTATACATTTTTTTTTTTTTTCGATCGCGTAGTGGTTTAACGAAATTGACTGTTCCATTATCAGCTGCAACGGCGCACTTTAAGTTGCGTCATAAAGTATCTTTACAATGTAAATTATGTCCGAAAAACGCAGAAATGCAGATTTTCGAACACCGGACATCGAGCCTTATGAATATTTCTTTTTGTTAACAATATGTCTCTGGAAGCATAACTTTCAATTTCGTATATTGTACTGAACGTTAAATGGCCTATCAAACATATTAATGTGTAGTCAAACGTTTTTCGTTTCATGATTTAGTTCGTTAAAACCAAACTGCGATTATTATTGACACAATTTACAAAACTCACGTTTTTACGGTACAACTCTAACGTTAGGTTTCTTTTTTTTTTTTTTTAAAATTTATGAATATTCAATTGTTAATGTGTTAAGGCTATTTGATATTATTCGCTAAACGTTACGTTGATATTTAGACATGATTGAAATTTATACTACAGCTCGTTTATCGGCCAAATATTTATTTCGACCGATTTTCCGTCGGACGCGATAATTTACACACGCCATAACGCAATACGAGTACATGCATTTTATCGGGACGCGACTTACAATAGCTCAGGCTGTGCAACACACGCCGATGACACACCGGAACTGTCGACGGACGCGCCACTCGCGGTAACGATAATTTTCAATATATCCCGGTGTAGAATACACCTAACGTATAGGCACGTGTATTATTATTACGTTTGTGCGTCTGAAAAAGTTGAAAAAATAAAACGCGTATACCTATTGAAAAAAAAATATATATATTATACGAGTAGTAGTCTAGTAGTCGCGTTTTATTTTTTTAAGAAAACGTGCACTATAATGCGCCGTCGCGTAGTACACACAGTGTACTATGTTGTATAGAGTATGGTACGTAAACAAGTCTATATAGTTTTTTTTTTTTTTTTTTAAAGCTGTGCACTGCATACAAACTAGATTGCAGACTATGATAAAGCAAAAAAAAAAAAAAACAAACCGACCCGCAGCAGACGATGTCGTTTTGTATTTAAATCGCTTATGTTTTCAGCGCGTTTCGCGTATACCTACTGCAATGTGCAAAACCCAATGGTCGCAATTAATTTTACAATACAATAATTATTATTATTAAACGAGAATTTTTTAATATTGATTGATGATCTAAAATATTAGTGAAAACACAGCTGGGCATTTTAGATAAAACCAGGTATCCATTTCTCGAATGGTTTTCCAGGCAGAACGTGTTGTATGCATGCCATGTCAGCTTGGTTTGACTGAATGGCCTACAGTGGTATGATTATAGCGGTTGAAAGCCAAAAGCTGGAGCAGGAGCCAATGCGGGTGCGGGCGCGGGAGCTATACCTATAACACGGCCGTCCGAATCGCCAACCTCTCCGTATAGGTAAGAAAGTAGCATTGCAATGGTTTTAGCTACTTTTAAGCTAGCTGAAAGTATAGTAACCCTACTTTTTTACTTACCCAAACAAAAAAAGTAGACTGTTCGGACGGCCATGTTATAGGTATAGCTCCTGTACCCACACCCGTTCCGACTCCTGGCTTTGAGCCACTATATTCATATTATTTGTCACATCTCGTTGTGCTATTGATGTCCTCGGCTTGAAGCTAAAATAAGTGAATGTTTGATTAGCTGTTGAGTATTGTGACTTGACGCACGTTAAAAATATCAACACCAAATATTTTTTTAAACACAAACGTCATCAATTTATAGAATTTTGAACAATATAGGTTTTAATTTGAAAACTAAGAGTGGATCGTGGTTGCACGTTAAATGTAGGTGACAAAAAACAACGGTTTTATACAAATTTTTACAGCTAATTGTTTCTTAAACACAAATTTCGAAAATAGTTTATACTCGCCATGTTAATGAATGTCTAATAGAAAATTGATCACGCTGTATAAGATTAGTTATAATATATTCATGAAATCGAATAATTTAATGTTTAGAGTACGGTTTTTATTAATATTCTTTTCGTGTAAATCATTACTAGATTTACGGAAAATCAAATTAAAACGTGTAGGTAGCAGTCCTATGTATTCAATAATATTATTGCATAATAAATTTAATTTTTTTTTTTTTTTTTTAGTGAACTATCTAAATGCAATGAAAATTTATATGTAAAAAAAAAAAATAATTTGGTATGTACGTATACAATATTGACCTTAATTATCTCGTTTTTTTTTCATGCGTTAATACTGAATGCAGCAATAATATTATGTCATTAATGTCAACACGAAAATAAAAAATTAAATAAAAAATAAACAACAAAAAACTTAATAAAGAGCAGATACTGGAGACGTGTTCCATTGAATATTTTCCACTGTTGTAGGTAGGAAGATGGAAATCCAAAAATTATTGCTGATGAAAAATGATTCAGAGTAAAGTTTGGTTGTACAAGTTTAAAAGGCTGTAATATTTACGATTTTCGTCAAAATTTGATATTAAAACTCTTATATAAAAAAATGAATACTACATCACATTTATTTTTGACTACTGAGTACGACTTATAATGAATTTCTAACTGTTAAAAATGTTATTTAAAATTATCAATAATTCAGATGACCTTTGTCAGGAATAATTTATAACAAAAAAAAAAAAAAATAATAATGAACTTTCTGTTAAAATTTCAAGCATTTCGGTTTAGTCTAAAAATTTTGTTCACGGAATACGTACCAAATAAAAATTACATCAAAAAGTCACAAAATAAAAATGTCTAAAAATAGTTCAAAAATGGCTCAAATGATTTAAACATTATACACATGTAGAAAAGGCAAATATAAGTTCTAAGTCTGTATTTCAGGTCTTCACAAATATTTTAAACTGAATTACATTAAAAAAACAAAATTTTATTGAATTATATCAGAATTATTTCGTACATTTTCCTGTTTTTTCCATTTATTATGATAACCCATGGTAAAACAAAAAATTACTATCTTAAAGTATCAGCCCTTTATATTATATAATATAAAAGTAATTAGAAAATAATAATTTCAAAGTTTATACTTTGAAATAATAAAATAATGATTTAGGCAATTAATAACGTAATATTATTTCTCTATGCTTGTTTTTGTTTGGTTAAAAAAAAAAAAAATAGCACGATAATGAAGAGGTGGCAAATTTCCTTCCAAATGTAGATGGCGAATTGCTTAATCCGCCGGTGCTGGACACTCTACAGGACACTAAGTTATCCCGTTTTCAGAAGGAAGACAAAAACAAAAAAAAAAAAAAGGAATAAATAAATAAAAACAACGAAAATCGGTTTTTGTTGACGAATATTATTGTTTCTGTAATATGCCTGTCTTTAAGCTAATGAACGCGTATGTGCATAAACTGTTAGTGGTATTGTAATAACGACCGTGAACGGCCCAACCTTACACGTTGCTGTATCACCTATTTACATGAACCCGAGATTTTAGACCTTTCAAGTCCAGCGGAAATAGTTTCAGAAGTAATAGGTACCGGGTGGCTCAGTGGTAGAGAAATCAACCGGTAAGCGAGAGATCCGGGGTTAAATTCTCGATCCCGTCGCATGATTTTCAGCACTATTTTCCAGACGAGAACGGTCGTGTCGAACCGGGGTAAATAACGAGACAATGTTGTACACTTGGCGGTATTTCCTAAGGTTTTTCCCGTTTTTTCTTACTTATTAGAAAAAAATATATGAAAAATCAAACAACGACTATATTTCTCACAAATAAAACAACATTTTGTTACAGAGAATATGCTCTTCTTGGAATTTGGACAAGATTTCTGACAGAGAAATATAATCTTACAAATTTTTAATAATGAAATCGTTGCTCCGTAACTTGAAAAAAAAATGGTATTTCTCGTTTTTCCCAATTATTATCAAAACCAATTTAGATTTAAAAACAACTTATTTTATTAGTGGATATATATATATATATACACATGTATTGAAAAGAACAGAAAAGGTTATTGACATTTATTGATCAAAACAATATTTCTGATAAAAAAAAAATGAATTGTAAAAATTAAAAACAATAAAATCAGTAACGCCACGGAGTTTTTTAAATAGGTACCGTTTTTCTAACAACTCGTTTTCTCGGATTTTCCAATTTATTTTCAAAACCTTTTAGAAAATAAAAAAAACGAACTCCTCATTGAATCAAATGGAATATAATTAACTATCAGAAAAGGCGCTACACTAATATATTCGAGTATTATTTCTGGGAGAATAAGTGATCACAGAGACAAATAAAACAAACACACAAACATCATAGTAAAATCAATAGATCTCTCACTACGCTACTAATCTAAAACTATAATCTTCTTTGTTATGACACCATTGAATCAAGGGAAAAAAATAAAAATCAACGAAAATTAATTAAAGACAAATTAAATAATTACGTTCAGATTATTCGGAAATTTAAAAAAAAAAAAATCAGTTACTAATAACCAAGAAAGTTATAAGAAAATAAGAATAAGAATACAGTCAAATGCGTGTATTATGATATATGAATTAAATATATAGGTATTTTATTTAAAAACTAATGCAAAAACGGACCAATTCAGTTTTAGAAAAATTGAATCGTATAAAAAGCAAGCACTGGAAAGAGAAGAAATTAAGTATTTACTGAAAAATTATCAAAATGCGTTTCAGAATCATACAAGGCCATAAAATCGTTTGACGAAACAAGGAGAATTATAAGTACACAATTTAAAAGACACTACGAAATATAAATTCTTAGCGAAGTTAAAATATCGATTTGGGTTGCCTTTTTCGAATACATTATAAAATATTGTAGATCCAATTAGCACATGATAACGAAAAGTTCGGAAAAATCAAGCGATCTTCAAAGAAGAACAGAGTAAGCCAAGTGGTTTCATATAAAATAATGTACTGCAACATATAAGGGAAATTGAAAATATCAAACAACCTGTCGTACGCTAAAATGTTCAAGTGCTGTGAAAACGGGAAGAGGCAAGAATAAGTAGTTTAAAGCCAGGGCCGGATTTATGAAAGAAGGCTCAAAGTCCAAAGGCCCGCATCATTTGACTTTTGTAGGGCTCCAAAAGTTAGTAGCCGCATATGTACAGTGTGGACATTATTTTGCTTATTAGTAAAGATGGACGTATTTTAACTTATTAGTGCTTAACCACAATTACATTTACAACCAAAAAAATTTAAATATTATACCATTAATATAACCATTGGTATTGTCATAAAAATTAATTTATACTTGGTTAAATAAATGCATAAAAGCCACTATAAAAATAAAAAAAAATTTCATATTAAACATTAAATAAATAAATAATTATAACAAGATTTATAAAATATAACTTGTTTAGTAATTTAGTAATTTATTCAGTTGAGTAGCGAATCGCTGTTGTAGATAAACGAGTGGATGGGCCAAATAAGTTTTAAATTTAAATTAGGTACTTATGCGATAACGTAGATTACGATTTCATTTACATTTGATGTGAAACTGAACTAACGTTTAGTTTTTGCAGTGTACTTTACAATAACACGAACAAGTTATTTAATTTCGTAATTTTTGGATTATTGTCATAATTAATCGTGCTAATTAGGGTTCGGGAATTATTGCAATTAAAATTCACAAAAAAGCGCTTAAAAAGGTAAAATAATCCGTGAAGAAAGCACTTTAAAAAAATATTATAAGAACAAATGGTAAAATGGTTTAAAGATGGTTTAAAGGTCTAATAATTTTAAATTATCAAATAAAATTTTTTAGCGCGACATAAATGATAAACAAAAAGTAATTTTGTTTAAATAAAATTATACGTTTAATAAAACAATAACTGGGTTAATAATTTGTGTAGCATTGGAAAATTGTATTTGACAAATTAGAGCCATTAGAACAAGAACATTATTTCCTTTTCAACATTTAATTTTGGCCTGTATTATAAATATTATTGTGTAAGAAATTATTAATTAATAAAAAATAATAAATGTAGTCTTACTGTCGTTGGACGTTCTTCTACAAACAAATGTTCATTTGCTTTCATTTCAATCTCCACCATTCTCTTGATTTTATTGTACAGAAATTTTCTATCTGTCCTATTAATAAATTCTTTGCGAAAAGCTTTTATTTGTAAATCTTTGATGTACTTTTCATCAGTCACTCTCTGTAGCCCTGTGCGCATTCGTTTCAAGTCACGAATTTGAATTTCGAAATTACTTCCCGGCTGCTTAGCCACCTAGTAAATACATGAGAATGCGATTGGAACAAATAAATAAAAAATAATTTTTAACCCGTGAAATAAAAATGTCCTTGCATTCTCCAGGAAAATATCGAAATTGAATATATTACTATGCCATTATTGCTAATACCACTGTTCGAATTGACGGTGGGGTAAGCAGATGGACGAATTCCTTTTTCATTTTTTTTTAAAAATTTGAACGTACCACTTCATATGGTAATTAACTAAAGAACGCTAAGACCACTTTGACTGAAAGTGATTGAATTTATTTGTACAGCATAATTGTTAATTATTATTGAAATAAAAAATTTGAATTGGATTAATCCCTAGCTATTAGATTTTGTGAAAAATTATCAATATATTTAAAAAAAGTTTCATATAAGTAATTTATGTTCTTATACCGGTCTTTAGATTGTCAATTTTCTTAAATTTTGAATGCCTTCCCTAGACTCAAAAGGCCATTAGTCAATTGATCCATTCTATACAATACACATTTTTAAATTGTCAGGAAAGTAAGAAGTGTACCTATTGGTTTTACTACGTTTTTTTTTTTTCTGTAAAAAACTGTTCTACCAGAAATCTTGTTCCAAATTAAAATTTGTTCGAGCGATTAAAGAGGGATATGCATTTTATTTTTCTTCCGATAAATATATATCATTGAAAGATAAATTCGAATTGAAAAATAAGAAATAAAGCAATTTCAATATTAACATCCGGAAAACATTGTATAACAGTCTTTATCAGTGGTACATTAAAAAGCATTTATTTTTTTTTTTTTTTATCAATAAATAGGTTTATTGCATTATATATGGTCTATTTAGAAAGGTACATTTAATAGTTGTGATTAGATAGTGTTCCGTGCAGAGCCGTACACAGTACAGTAACTTTATGAGAGTGCGATAGGTGCCCATGCACCGGATGATTTGACCACACGGGTGCTAATGAAAATTTTTAAAGTTCTGTAATTAAATATTTTTACAATTAATATGTATGTATATAAATTTAAATTTAAATTTATAAATGTGTAAAATTATATTTATTGTATATTTCGGATTTTTTGACACTTTTATTAATTTATATAAAAAAAAAAATTGATTTAAAAAATATATTGACATAAAGTTTTAATAAGTTTTATTTGCACAACCACTAAGTTTCAGCTTACGCCGTCATCAGGTTGCTGATAAACAATGTTATAGAATGGTTTACATAAAACAATTGAAAAAAGGAACAATATAAATTTTAAAATAAAAAATAAACATAGTTGTTATAATATCAAACAGGCATTTTTAATAACTTTAATCCGCCCCACTCAAAACAAAATTATAGACGATCCGCCATTATCCATGATAAAATTATTTTAGTATGCTATGGAAATGTTATTTTATACTCACAAAGCAATAAGTATACGCTTGAGGTCCGGTATATACTATATGATTAACACATGTTGGTTTTGGACGAACGGGTTTTGAAGGTATACTACCGTAATCCATTTTGATAAAATTATAACTTAAATCCAAATAAAGTATAAAACTAAATACTTATTGAACTGTAGATACCTACTCAAAATAATGTCTATTGTTTTTAAATAAAACTGTAACCATAACAATTAAACCCTCAAATCCTCTCTATAGGTATTTTTCGTAACAATAAGGCAATTTTTTTGTTCTTTAAATCAATAATACCTACTGATTTTAAATATGTGTACACTATTCGGTCCTTGTAGAAAATATTATTTCCATTGGAACAATATTTCTGGTAGAAAACATAAAAGACTGTAAAAATGAAAAACAATGAAATCGGTAATGTCGCGGCAATATTTTCCGTTTTCCTTATTATTTTCTTCACCGGTTTTTCCAATTATTTTGAAAACACCTTGGAAAATCAAAAAAACGGTCTATTTTATGCACCAAGAAGTCAAAATTTCCTTTCGAGAATGGCACTGCGCTCTACACAGTAATCATCGGACCGAGATTTCGAAAAAGTTGTTTACAGACAGAAAAAAAATACACATCATCGTAATTTTACTAATGTGGATCCCCTCGCTACACTCCGAATCTAAAAATGTACATTATTATTCTCGAATTACGGGCGTATAATACAATGCAACACAGTCGTAAAAATTCGACGTTCACTTCAAATAAATTATTTTTGTAGCGAATATTACTCGTGTTTGTGTGTTACGGTTGAGTTACCGGTAACATGTTATAAAATGACGTTCGCGCGTAGTGATAGCTTTCGATAGACGCGCGGAAAATAACGAGAATCGGTGACGGTTTTACACATTTTCGCCGAATGTTGAAAAATGTTTCATACATTTTGACGTCTGCCTTGATGATTAGACTTTTCACTGATTTACTGCCCGATACCCTGCAGGGACGAAGGAATGGGAATTACGTGGTAAACGTTTGAGGTTTACGGACGTACGTTTATAAGGTTTCAGACCGAAAAAAGTCAGGTGAAACCGTAGGAAGTGCGTTTGAATGATTTTAATTTTGAAAACGTATTACGATTCTTCATGTTTTTTTTTACAGGAAATCTAGAAAAACAATTTATATTTTCATATTCGTCTGTAAATATAGAGCCGTGCCCCTTCCTCTTATAAATGGGAATCACGCAGTAAATAAGTGGAAAAGTATCGATGTTGATGTGGCAATTCAAATGCGATTTGTTTTAAATCTTATAAAAATCGAGGATGGTTCGGAAAATCGTCATAAACGTTACGTTAAAAACATTTTTTTTTTTTTTTTTTCAGAACTTACGTTTGGAACAGCGCGTCCACAATCCCGTACCGTCTATAAAAATATAATTATGATTATCGTATCTTTGACCAGATGTTATCAAATATAATAATTATGTATACATAACAATATTATAATATTTTTTAATTTCTGTCATATCGCCGCTGTATAGTGTAGGTGCCTATAGCGATAAACCAGCTATTATATACTTTTCATAAAACGTTGTTTATAACGTATAATGTATAGATAAATCTTAATAGTCGAAACTGGCTAGATAAGGGGTGCGTTGACCTATTCGTATTTGCCGCGTAGAGTGTAAAAAATATCTCTTTTATTTTATCAAATCGCACGTTTAGTGTTATGCGCGTCGTATAACAACTGAAAAAAAAAACATAGCAATTATAATTATAATATACGCGAGTTTGAGTAGGTACTCAAAGTAGATACTTGTACAACACCCGAAAATATCTTTAACCTTCTAAAATAATGTAATGATACAATAATAATTGTGCGCATTGTTAAGTTTTACTGAGGCGTGTGTGACTGAGACGTTTTTTTTGGTTAATAAACAAAGCTACAAATTATCCACATCGTACCGATTGAAAGGCGTGGTTATTTCACCCGGTATTGGTATTTTATTATTGAAAAAAATGTCTAGATTTCTAACAATTTTCCTAAACAATTAAAAAAATTGTATTTATTGTTTTTAGCTTCTGTGTTACCTTGGCTACGAGAAGAAAAATCCTCCTATAACTCTATAACCTTATCAGTTTACCTATCTTGGCTCAGGGTTGTTACATTTTTTATTTCAATGATCTATTGTTGCTGTGTTAAGTATTTAAATTTAATTGACCCATAGATATTGCCATATGCAGTATGTTTGTATACCAGTTGTGAACTGCGTAGTATTTCCGAGGCACGGCAATTCGATACGATTTACTTTGCATCATTTGAATGTTCTAAATTAATGTATTTGAAATTGAATATTATTTAAGAAGGTTGGAATATATCTGCTTTTAATTTTAGACCAAGTGGTGGGCAATTGAACATAATTTACTTCCCAATATCCGAGTTCAATATTTTTTTTTTTTTTTTTTTTGTATTTAATCGCAAAGTGTCTACGTATTAAGGAAGTTGATTTTAAATTTAAAATTCTGAGCATAGCGAATAATTTAACGGTGTTTTACAATGATATTTATTTATCGTATTTTTATTTTTTTATACTTTGACAGAAATTTCTGTCAGAAGTCTTGCTTTCATATGTAATTTGACAACTTTTTCTGAAAGGAAATATTGTCTAGATGGTACTTTAAGAACGGCATTTTTTGATTTTCCAAACAGAATACATAATATCTGGGAAAAACCGGGATAATATGTAAGAAAAACAGGAAAATTTACGAAAATAATGTTAATCAAAGTCCCTTATATTATTTTCAATTTTATTTTTCGTTATGATTCAGTTAAACATATTAATTGAGATTTATATTTGTCTTTTCCAAACATGGACAAATTTTCAAAAAATTCTAGTCATTTTGAGCGATTTTTAGACATTATTAATTTTGCGAGTTTTAAGTTTTGAAATTATGCAAATATTATACGTGTTACATTAAATAACTCAATAATGTCAATATTATATTATCCCTGTCGTAGTCTATTGGTGGTACGTATTTTTTGTTATCCCAGAAATCGCAAGTTCAAACCAGAGCTCCAAAAAAATCGATTGCTTTTTTTTCCCCTTGTATCTTAAATAGGGAAAAACAAATGCAATTTGGGTGCACCTAGAGACCCAAGCTATCGCTAACTCGGGCTATTTTAATCGATAAATACCCCTCGGTTTTTGTACAAACTTTTCTACCAGAAATCTTGTTCCTATGTATCAAATAAAGCACGTTTTCCGAAAGGAAGTTTTATCTAAATGGTACATTAAAGGGGAAAATTTTTGATTTTTCAAGCGGTTTTTTTAATAATTGGGAAAACTAGGATAAAATTTCGGAAAAACGGGAAAATACACGAAATGTAAGTATATAGTAAAAAAATATTACGGCTTTTTTTTTCTTGTAAACAACTTTTCTACCAGTAATTTTGCTCCGATTTATAATGATAGAACTCTTTTTAAAATAAAATCTTATTAGAATGGTACTTTAAAGATGTCATTTTTTAATTTTTCCAGGAGTTTTCCTAATAAATGGAAAAAAAAAAACATGA